GCCCAAGTTTGCATCATTTACAGCAAAAAAGAAAATGAATAGCAGAAATGCACAACTTGACATTTTCCGCTGTGTGCGCGTGTACGCGGCTACCCTGGCCTATAGAAGGCACCTCCAATTTTTCCCGTCCCTGCTCCCACACTAAGAGGCGCAGCAGCACACAGACACATCAGAAATAAAACCTCTAAGAGCTCAAAAAAAATAAAAAAATAAAATCTTCAACCTGCAGAAATCCGTATTATTCGTAAAGGCCAATGCAACCATTTCACAAGTAGTGCACCCGTCCGTCGCATGCTCTTTCAACAAAAGAAAAAAAAAGGAACACCACATACTGTGTTCGCTTACGGCAAAATTACAACCAACGATGACAAAAGAACACAAGAAAAGTCTAAACCGGAACATCCAGCAAAAGTTACTTCAGATAATACCTTCTCATGCCGCGTTGAATGCAGAAAGAAGCAAACTAGAAAAAGTATCACCAACAAATTAACCAAAAAAAAACACAACACTATCCAGTTCCAAGTAAACAAAAAGGCCAAAAAAAAAACAGCAACGAAACACACACACACACAAAAGAAAAGAAAACAACAACAACAACGGAAGGAGGAGAAATGAAGAACTAATACATTTACTGTTTCCTAGGCATTTTTCTGAGAGGTAGAAGCCGCACTCTGAGAACACCAATCACTTGAGTTGGGTCGTTTGGTTTTTATATTGATGTAAACACATGTCACATTGTCAGTACTCCCTTGCTGCAAAGCCTCCTGACACAACCTATCGGTGATATCCTGCGGTGGCACACCCTCCGCTGCAAGTTGGGAACAAAATTGCACGACTCTATCATACGACATTACATCCCACAAGCCGTCACAGCCAATAACGAGGAACTCATCACGGTCAGTAAGCTTTGTGGTTTGAGTTTCCGCATCGGCAATGATGCCAGACGGCTTGCCGTCAGTGTATTCATCCAACTTGAACCCTGCATCGCCTATGACACGGGTAATGCCCAGGCTCAACACTTGTGGGTTAAACTTTGGATGGCCCACACGGTTACTGATGATCCTGCCACCGCAGGCCTTGACACGCTCACTCTCCGCCTCGTTGCTATGTAGGCTGTGCTTCTTTGACAACACCAGTGGAGACCCCTCTCGGCACAGTACTATCTCAGTGTCACCAACATTGCCAGTCACCAGCGTGTCATCCACAATCATGGCGACGGCGCAGGTGCTGCCAGACTCACATTTACCATTGGCACATTTTGTTAAAAAATCCGCCTCAGCCTTGGCTATCCCATCACGTACCGCCTTCTCGGGATTCGTCATGACATCTGAGTGACTAAGAATTAATGTGTGCAAATTGTCGCGAAGAAACTCCGCGCACTGTGTGCCACCATGCCCGTCATACACGGCAAAAAAAGGAATGGTTTCTGAAACCATGGCGTGCTGGTCTTCCATTGTCTTTCGAGTGCCCTGCTCTGAGGTCGCCCCATACTCAAAGATACGCCATAGTGACTGTGTAACACCAGAGGACGGATACGCGAGCGGGGACGACACATCGTCACTCACTTGTCCATTGACATCCCTGTTCATTTTGATTATGGTCTCCTACTTTTGCCCTTTATGCCCTCAACGACTACTCCCTCTTGTGCGACGTTGGTAATCCTCTTCTTCTATACTATGCACCTTACCCCTCCCCAGGTGGTGCCTCCTTTGACGGACTTTGTTGCCACTCACGTGACCCACTTCAATATGTGTCTTCTGGGCGTGCCTTTTGTTTGTATTGTTAATAACTATTTTTTGCACCGCGAAAAAAGGTTAAATAGTCTTGTCTGCGTGTACCGTGAACCACGTCTTCTAGACCTGAAGGAGAGTCACCTATGTATACACTCGCCCAAGTTTGCATCATTTACAGCAAAAAAAGAAAATGAATAGCAGAAATGCACAACTTGACATTTTCCGCTGCGTGCGCGTGTACGCGGCTACCCTGGCCTATAGAAGGCACCTCCAATTTTCCCCGTCCCTGCTCCCAC